GAGGAGCCGCAACTGTAGCGAGCAGCGAGCGGGTGCGAATAAGCATGATATTGAAGTTATGAGAATATTTGAAAGCATTTTTTTTAAACGGCCTCGACAGCAAATCAAAATGCTCATGCCCGGCCACATATTGACTTACTCACTGTATGTGGGCATACATACATACATACATATGTATATATCCCTATGCAATAAATGTAATCAATACAGCGGCAAATTTGTCTCGCAGTTTCCAGGAAAACACACACCAAAAGAAAACTTTTTTAATTAAAGCCAAAAATTGATAAAGAAACAACAACAACAACATTTAGAACTTCAATGAAAATAATTCCATGTGCAATATCTTTAACTGACCAGAGCATGGATTCTATGTTATATAGTCTTGGTATCAGCTCTTATGCTCTTGAAAATATTCTATTTATACTATACTATACTATGTAGGCGCTTCGTGAGCCTTTTAATAACATATCCTAGGCAGCCATTATTAAATTTTGGACTATTAAAGTGTCGTGAGAAAGCAAATACCCTATGTTTCGTCAAGAAATTCTGTTGCACTAGAGCTACTAGACAATGCCGATAATATTCAAAGACATGCAAAGGGATCTCACGTCCTGGACATTCCAAATAGATAGTAGAGTTAGTAAATACTCTATCCGATTAATTGTAATTAATTTTAATCAATTGACTAACTTCTTAGATTAAGACAGATTGCACATATAACATGATATTTATGTATGTACATATACATATATACATTTATTGTGCATCTTATTTTTACTTAAACTAGAATACGGATATATAATTGATATACTTATATATTTGATATACATACATGAAAAAGAAAAAAATTATCAGATAGAATATACATACATATACATTGCATTATCACAGATACAGTTATAGATCAAATTTAGTATTATCATGGTAAAAACTTTTGACTACAAATAAATATTGATAAAAGTACTAAATAAAACTTGAAAGGAATCCATACATACATAAATACTTATATACCCTATATAATACATATTTACTCTAGACAAATATACACTACCCCTATGCATGCATTTCTTATCAAGGTATTCCCTCTTTACAGGGTATATTGCAGTCGTTCGTCAAGTCTCCACACTCTCCGTTGTCTGTTGTGGCACTTTGTTTATTTTAAACGATTATTCCGCTTCATTACCGTTAAATCGCTTAGACGGCAGTCTTTTGTATGTGTTTCCATCAGCTTTTCCTTATTTTGTTCTACATTCTTGTTCCTTTTTATTGTTCCTCTCTCTCTATTTTTTTTTTTTTTTTTTTTTAATTTAAAGGTATTATAGATTATACATTGTCCCTGGTCCGACACAATTTAGTGGTTCACCAAATCAATTTGCTATTGATGCCCCAAGTGCTTTTGAAGACACACACACACACACACACACACACACAATCTTTATCAATTGAGTTATGTAAACTTTACTTGGACGCAGGGCTTTAAGAGATAATACCACAACGATTTTATCCATAGCTGCAGCATTTATAAAGGATTCTATGTTGCTTTTAGAGCGGTTGAGGTGATATGGATATGGATAGGTCTTTAAGCTGATGTTAATATTACGCATGTTCAAAGTAAACATTATGTACTCATTCATTATCTGGAATATTAATATCATAATACACATACTAAATAGATAAATATAATTTTAAAGTATAAATAACAAAGCGTCTTATTGTTTAAGCAGTGTGTGCAGGAGTCTGAGAACAGAGTTGTCGTAGAGCTATTACTCGGGTTGGCAGCGCGCTTCTTAGTAGACTCAGCTTGAGGCAACCATATATAGCTGTTGCTGAACGTGCTACCGGGTGCTGCTGAGTGAGAACGAGACAGCATGTAGACTTCTCATTTTCGAATAGCTTCATCTTCGTTTGGAGTGAACATAGAACAGCTGCTAGGAATCTCTAGAAGAGAGATCAGGTAAAGAGACTGTCTGTCTATATATATTCGATGCCAAACCTCCTAAAAGCCATTATTAAAGCAAAAGGGCTACATAACAAATATTAATTATATATATTACCCATTTTTGCTATATTTTAATGTTTTTTATTTTCATTTATTTTGTTTTTGTATAACAATAATTTTCTTCATTATATATAAGGTTTTTTTCGTTTTTGGGTATTTATTCTATTGTTTTTAATGTAAGTTGAAGGCTTTCGCAGTATTTTTTTTATATTTTTATAATTTAAAAAATTCACTATTCTCTTGGGCTACATTTTTGTTTTTAAAGAAAACGTTAAAAAAGACTTAAAAGAATTGCTAAAAAGTTTAAAAAGCTTGCTGTGCCTATAACTTAGTTACTCACTGTAGGTATCTGAACTATGTGGAAAGTGTTTATCCTGAGCAAGCTCCGACATCGGTATATTCTTGTATATACTCTCGTACTCTTACTCTCGTAGTTCACTCGATTGGTTGCTTGAATCTGTAAGAACTGTTGATCTTAAGATTTATTATTGGCTTCTTCTTTTCTAATAAAATAAAACTATATATTAATATTTTTTTGATTTCCCTATTCCATCATCAACACTGTATAGTAGAATATAGAATAGTAGAACTTCTAAGAGAGGAAAGGACAAACTCTCTGATCTCGCTCCTTTTTCTAAAGCTACTTAAACAGAGTTTCAATTACTCAACATTCTATATAAATTCGAATATATTGAAATGCAATAGTTTTCTATGAAATGGTGCTGAGCAGAAGTCTTTGTGCAAGGCGAATAATGAATCGAAAGCTGTGGCAGATTGTAAGCCGCATAGAGATATAAGTTAATCTGACTATATATGTATGTAAACACATGCATAACAAATGTGATATAGTCAAATATAAAAATGTTGTTTACAATTCGAGTTTTATGAAATGTGAAATGGGAAATGCGAGATATGTGAACGGCATGGCAACTACCCTAGGCGGCGCATAAATAATGGAGCAAGTGCAGCTTCAAATCGTTCACTAATGGAGGAGCTCCATCGATGATGAGGCAGGCAAATCGCCGCCACTTTATGTTGCATAATATATTGAGTTTGCCTCGGCCCAATTGTGACGCCCACTTTGGGTGGGGGTGGGTCAGTGGTGTGGGTGAGGCAATTGGCAAACATTCTAAAAGTTATTTGGCAGCTGCTCGTTGCGAGGCATCGCACACACATTTGAGTGCTGTTCCGCTGCTGTTATTGTTATTGTATGTATTATTATTATTATTATGATTATTGTTATTGTTTTTGCATTTTAAAGCAAATGGACTTTTATGCGTTTTCCTGTATGTGTCTGTCTGTCTCACTCCCACTCTCTCTCTCCCTCTCTCCCTCTCGCTCTCTTAAATTAGCCCAGAATGATTTTGGCAGTCTTTTGCCATACAATTTGATGCTTCTTTAACTGCCTGTCCGTCGCCCATCAATTTTACTTACTGTACAGTCAAGCCTCGCAGCATTCGCGCACATAAAAACACAAATTTCCGCATAAATTACCAGCTCAACATTTTTTGATGGCCTCTCTTCGGCCTCTTCTTATGCCTCTCGACTGCTTCTCTTCGCCACTCTCCACGTCTGCTTCTTCCTGCTCCTGGCGATTATTGCTGTTATTCTTGGTTTGCTTATGTGCATAAGCATACGTAATTGATGCGTTTATATAAGCATATATTTCTTTATTGAGACCTGCTCTTCATAATGCCGAAGATTTAATACCCTCACCCATCGCACGTCATAGACGAGGTTCCTCTTCTTCTGGTGAGACCAAAAATTTATGTTTCACATATGATTGAGCTCTAGCCTAAGTTATTCCAGTTATGCCATAGCTGCGGACAAATTCCGAAACTTCTATGACCCTATATTTAAGAAGACTAAAGAAGGTATATTTGATAAAAATATTTTGCTTAATGTCAATCCAGAAGCATTCAGAGTTGCTTAAGATATTCCATTTATTTTTGATGACTTTTAAGGCATATCTGAGCAATATTTTACCAGGTCTCCTTGAAGAAATGTCGCAAGTCTTGAGCTGCTGCGCGTTACGTATATTCCATTCCCGAAAATTTTTTAACTTTATATTTTATCTTACTCCATTCAAGTCAATTGTAAGCCAAGTAGGCGGAAATTCACAATCAGCAGTATTTTTTGAGCCGACGTCTAGTCTATCTAAGCTTTAAGATCCTATATAGGCAGCATTCAACTCAGTTCACTTGGACGAGCTCCGTCAGTTCTTCAATGTTTGTTTATGATCTTGCAATTACAAGTGTTTGGCATCCATTGAGAATTACATAGAAAGGCACAACAGAAATTTCGATATTAACACAGATAACGCTTAAATGAATCAAAAGTTTGCCCCATAAACCCAAATAATACAAAGATATGCCCAAGTTACATCATGACGTCTGCCTGTCTATCTGTAGCAGACTAAAGGTGAAGCAACAACTTTATATCTACATGGCTCCAGTCTCAGAACAATATGTTTGCTTAAAGGGCAATTAAATTTGACAATTATTGTCGGACATTCATTTAGATGTATGAGATTTTTTGCTTTTGCCATGCTCTTTTATAATGTGAACAGGTGGAGGGATAGAGAAAGGAACAACAACAACAAATCAGCAGAGGCGGTAGAGGGGGTAGAGGCAGCCTAGCGATAAGGCCGTAAAATATGATGTACGCCAAGGGCTTGGAAAGTGTTTTACGTGCGTTTTATGACATGTCATGACATGACCCAGCCAGCAGCTAGCCTTGCGCTGTCGAATGTGACCTAAATATATACAGACAGACAGATAGACAGACAGATACATACGTACATCTATGTAAACATATACGGCCCATATGCTGAGCGAGAACTAGCAATGCCTCCAAGCTCTCAGCCAAAGGCGAGCCAATGATGATTAGCGCTGACCTCTGGCCTTGCTAGCGCCCGATCTGCCTGATAAGCAGCGCTAGAAATATGGAACTACGCATCGAGGCGCTGATAACAATGCGAATTTTGTGCCGCTCGCAGTCGCAATCCGAATTTGGAGCATCGCACACGCTGAAGCTCAGTCCAATTACAAAAACTAAGATGAAACTCCTGCACATTGTGCTGCTTTGCCTGGGCCTGGGGCTCTGCCTGTGCCCGGTGCCTGGAGAGGCGCGACGACTGCAGCGCGAGGCCAGCGCGGCGCCCGAGCCGGTGCAGAATGCGGACCTGGCGGCCGCAGAGTCGCTCAAGTCGGAGGAGTTCGTGTCGGATGCAACGACCACGCCGAAGCCACTGGGCATTGTCTCCATCAAATCGCGAGCCATCGCCATGGACCGAGCCCTGTGCAAGGAGCAGTCGCGTTACCATCCCCACTTCCCCAAGTGCTATCAGTACTGCAAGCGGCTCGACCACTGGATTGGCCAGTGCTGGCGCGAGAGCTGTCACTGCATCTCCTGAATGCAGCGCAGCTAAGCTATCCGTTCCAGTACCAGTTCCAGCTCCATTCACATTTCCAGCCCACCTTACGATGCAGACCCAGCAACTGCTCCAGCTCCAGCTCTAGCTTCAATCCCAGCAACTGCTGCAGTTTCTGTATCTAGTTCATCTTCAAGTTCAACTCCAGTTCAACCAGTTCAGTTCCAGTTTTAGTTCCAGGCTGTAGTTCAGGCTGTAGTTCCAGCTTTAGCAACTGCATCAGCATCAGCTCCACATCATATTAGTCTTCTGGCAAGGGATCTAGTTGCAGCTCTAGTTCCAGGATATCATTACATGCTGACTCCAGCTCTAGTTGCAACTTGAGGTAGCTCCAGCCACAGTTTTACTTGCGGATCCAGCGTTAGCTCCAGGTCCAGGTCCAGTTCTTGGTCTAGCTCCCTTAACTTGCGGCTCTAGATCCAGTTCCGGCACCAGGACCAGCTTCAGTTCCGGCTCCTATTCCAGTTCTGACTTCAGTTTCAGCTCCAGTTCCTGGCCTAGTTCCCTCAACTCTTCTAATTGCGGCTCTTGATCCAGTCCCGGATCCTGTTATATCTTCAATTCTAGCTGCATATCCAGCTCCGGTTTCAGCTCCAGTTCCAGTTCCTGTTCCAGCCCCAGTTCCAGCTCCAGTTCCAGTTCCACCTCCAGTTCCATCTTCAGTTTCAGCTCCAGCTACAGTTCCAGCTCCAGTTGCAGCTACAGCTCCAGTTCCATCTCCAGTTCCAACTCCAACTTCGGTTCCAGTTCCAGCTCCAGCTTTGGCTCCAATTCCAGTACCATCTCTATCAAGAGCTAGTTCCAGTGCCTGTTATCAATCCAGCTTTGGCTCCAGTTCCAGTTCCAGTTCCATCTCTAGCTACACCCAGCTCCAGTTCCTGTCTATGATTCGAGTTCTACTGCACGCTGCAGCCTCCAGCTTAAGCTTAAGCTTAAGCTCTGGTAACAACTTTGCCCTCAACTTTAGCTTCTACTCCAAGGCCAGCAACTGCTCCAGTTCCGACTACGCCCTCAACAGGCATTACAGCTACTCCAGCTCTTCCGTCAACACTTCAACACAATTTCCAGCATCCGCACCTTTGCCAGCTGCACCCACACCTGCTCCAGCGCCTCCTCAGCCGGAGGTCCACTTGCAAACTTAGTACTTACATAACTCTAAGATTTGTTTCATTAGCTGCCCATTACTCACACTTATCTGTGCACTTGTGCCTCGCTTGCTCTCTCGTGCACCGCCAGCTATTCACACTTATCCCTCTGTTTGCATTCGCACTAAGCCTTAGCTTTACAAGATTTCCCGTTTCTGCTGATTAAAGATGCAACAAATTTTGTTGAGCCAATTTCCTGTGCCTAATTAATAAGTTCAAGTTTGTCTTCATTATTTCTATTTGATTTTTATTCGGCCTCATCATATGATTGCCATGGCGAATTGAAGTTTCTCTGAATTTGAAGCTCAATTACCGTAATTAAAAATTGATGCTCAAAGTGAGTGGAGCGTGATGAGCTTCCGTTCCGGGAAATGGGAGAGGATTTGCCGAATCATAGTTTAAAGCGCTCTAATGCTGATTCGCAAATGAGCTGGCTTGCGAACCAGTTCAATCGACACAGCTGTAATCGCATCACATGCGCATAATCAACGGGAACATCTCATTGAATATTTCAATATTCCGGCGAATGTTTGGAGCTGCGCCCCGTATGTGAGGTGTTTAAATTTCTTATGTATTCTATGATAAATATGCATGCAGATGGCAAGCTTTAGCTGGAATTGTCTCGAATTGGGCGTGGCAATATACTTTGATATGTGCATATGTAAGTGTGAAGCAAAAATAAAGAAATTCGCACATTTTGCAAATTTTGCACGAATGTCCAAAACCCTTACACATACATGCATATATACAAGAGCGTGTGTGTGTGTGTGAAGTGTTTGCTGCCAGCTCTATCTCTCTCTCTCTCTCTCTTTCTCTCTCTATCTCTCTCTCTCTCTCTCTCTCTCTCTCTCTCTTATATGCTAATTTAATAGTAAACAGTGGCAAAAATATGCGCCCAGTACATAGCAGCAGGGGACAGAAAACGACCCAAAGTAGGGGACATCTCTGAATGCGCACACATGTAACGAGTGACAGTTACTAATAGCACACACTAACACACACGCACACACTCACACACGCACACACTCATTCAGATTCTTTAGTGGTATGCTGTTGTGCCACAGTAAGCACACAATATGCATATTCATGAACTAAGTGGCTGCATTTTCAGCGCGCGCGAGTTTTTTCAAAAAGATTCTTTGTGCAAATTGCGAGCATTAAAAACAAAAACAAACAACAGCAAACAACACAACAACAAAATGGGGTTTTTGTTATAGTCGCTGTCTGCATTTTTGTTGTTTTCGTTACATTTTTATTTTGATTTTTTCACTTATTTTTTGTTTTTTTTTTACATTTTTACACCAGTCTACAGTGCTGCCGAAAAGTGTGTGCACACAGCGCGCCATTCGCGTGTCACACATCTGACTTACACGATTGTTGAGTTCGTTTTTCTTTCTATTTTCTATAAACATGATATTTTAACTGGCCCCCAGCGGCGAGCAATGGAGCATACCAATTGCGGGCACTAGCGAACAGTGTTGTATAGCTAATAATATGAGATAGTCTTTGAGATTATCTGCCTGAATTACCAATAGAATTCAATTCAGACTGAAGGCAAACAATTAAGCCAATCATCGGAGCAAATAATGTTTATCTTTAATAGAAAAATAATTTCGAGTAATTCGGTTAAAGATTATATCATGGTTAGAAAGAGTTCTAGATCAGTCCAATAATAGATTACACTCCGTCATATTCGTCGTATGTTCGTCTTGTGCTGGAACTGGATCAGCAGCATCAGCTCATTCAATTGAGTCATAACCATATTTCCAGCAATTCGTTTGTCTATCCGCCTACCCTCCTTCCACCTGTAATATTCATCCATCCATCTGATTAGACTGGTACAGATTCAATAGCTGATTCAATTTTTGTGTTTATACATCATGTCGTTCGAGTAAAAAGTCGGCCTAACGTTCAACTGTTCAATCGTCCGTCCGTCCGTCCGTTCATACCTGCATTCGTCTCTCAATATACAGTATACAATACTACAATTTGAACCATAAATCTATATAAATCTTAACCGAGTCAAGTGAAATTCCTATTCAGTATTTAGCTGCACTCAGCTAAGCATAAATCAATACAAGACCCTTACGTATATGTATGTGTGTGGGTATGTACGCAAAGAGTTGAAGTGGAAAGCGCGTTACGGTTGTGTCAGATAACTGTCAGCCGCTATCACTAGGTAGTATCAATTAAAGGGGCGTTCCCTGAAATGATTAGCACCGCTTGACACTAACGAGGAGCAAACGTGGAATGCCGCATTATTAGCCCATTTGATTGATCTGATTGTCTTCCCATTCAAATTTAATGAGCTACGAGAAATGCCAAAAATATATGCTCAAACACTGAATATTCCTGGGGACTCCAAGTGTGACATGGAATGGCAAATGTGATATGAAATACCCTATAGTCGATGTGGTGCTAAGCTGAAGCTAATAAGCAGGGAAAATTTGTGAAGCACAAGGGAAATGCCATAGATCTAAAAGATGTTATATATAAGAGACAGTCAAAGAATATTTGTGTAAACGAAATTAATATAGAGTATCTGCTAGTCGAGCAGTGCTCACTCCCTTACCCTCCCCTCTCTCTCTCTCTCTCTCTCTCTCTCTCTCTCTCTCTCTCTCTCTGTGCCTGTTTGCCGCAGCACTTTGGGCCGTGTCTTTTTTTGTCTTTCTTGTGGGTCCACTGGTTCAACTGATTTAGCTCAATAATGCGACGCGTCTCTCACTTTGATAAGGGTCCCGTTGTCAACAAATAATAACGGCAACAGCGGCGGCAAAAACAATAAATGGCAGGACAGCAAACACGAGTTCGTTATCTTCACCGCAATGTAAACACTGCCACACGATTTTGACGGGGTGGCAACGCTGCGCCGCAAATGCCAAACAGCCAGACATAAAGCGTTAACAACTGATAAAGATTTTGACAAATCTACAAGCGCCAATAGCTGAGGCACTTTATATTATACAGTATATAGGAATATATAAATAGGCTGCTCTTGGTTATAATAATGAAAATATTCTTGGGGAGTTTACATAAGAGAAGCTAAAAGTATTGCTGTTTGTTTGAGCTGTACAATGAACTGAATTTAGCTTAAAGACTAAGAAACTCATGGGAATTCCATTGTTTATATATATTTTGTTGTATACCTTGAACCTATTGTATATGGAAAACAGATAAAAACCAAATGGAGGCGTGAAAAACCTACAGAATATATTGTATATTTCTGAGCAGGATGCTGAGCTGAGTGAGTCCTATTCCCGACTCGAACTTTCTTATATCTTCACTTCCTAGCAGTCTTCACCTGAATCTTGACATTAGATACGACAAAGTGTAGTTCATCTTAAGCTCTCCAACTCCCTATAGATGTATCGCCATACAGTCAATGTAATGTCATGGCATCCCACATTAAGTAGAGCTTCCTAGATCTGCCTTAAAGCTGCCTAGGCAACAGAATGGGCTGCCTAAAAAGTCTTGAACAAATTTGTTAAAGTTGAGCCAGAGTGGACAGGGCTGGGCGGACGAGTGGGGGAGTCTAAACGCTTTTGCCAGATACACGTATACACGGAATACATATCGTATAATTCATATAAATTTGCTGAGCACCAGAACTCTCCCCGGGGTGCATTTAACTAAACGCAGCGCTGGGCCGGCCGAGGAGAGCCTGAGCAGTCAGAGCAGCCAGAGCATCGCTGGGCTGACTACTCGTGGCAATTATAAATGGTTGAAAATAATTTCATTAAAAATGTAAAAAGCGGCATCAAATAGAAAAGTGTATTAATAGCAGCCAAAGAACTGCTCCTGGTACTGGCCCTGGTCCTGGTCCTCGTCCTGCTCCAGAGTTGGCGCAGGAGCGAGAGCCACACCGGCAGCAGCAGCAGCACAAACTCTAGACTATCCAATGTTGTCGTACATTTAGGAGTCGTTGTCCGTATCCGCCGTGTCCGTATCCATGTCCATGTCCATGTCCATGTCCATGTCCGTGTCCGTGTCCGTGTCCAAGTCCGTGTCGGTGTTGGCTACGTGCTGCCATTAACTTTGCTTTTGCCGTGCACACCTTGTCTACTCTCTCTCTCTCTCTCTCGTTCACTCTCTCCCACTCTATCTCTTTGTTAGCTGAAAGACATTGTCCTGCCATTGTCGTTGTTGTTGTTGTTCGAACTTTCGACTTCCTGTGCCCAAAAGGTTTGCACTTTGCGCCTGCTATTTGGTTTGCAAATTTAATGCGTTCGTAAATTTTCAACTGAAATTTCATTTGCGTTAGTTCATTTCGAGTGCTCTCTCTTTCTCTCTCTCTCTCTCTATCCCTCTCTCACTCTCTCACTCACTCTCACCCCTTCAATCAACCCAACTAGTGTTCGGGCAGTCTCTGGCTAGTTACACTTTTTAGTGCCATCATCATTTAGGCTTGCGAAAGAGAGACGGAAGGAGAGGGGAGAGCGAGTGAGAGTGAGAATCTACATCCATTTGTACACTCTTGCCAGGTGCTAACAATGCGTGTTGCATTTTTCGTGAGCACAGGAAATTAAGTTGGCAACTTTACATAAATCGTTATCCCCGAACCAAAGTGAGCAGCAGCTATTCGACTATTCTATTTATGATTGCCTCTATTAGAGGGAAAGTAGAAGTAGAAGGAGACTAGATATACATCTGTATCTGTATCTGTATCTGTATCTGTATCTGTATCTGTATCTGTATCTGT